CCATTTCTTGATTCAAGCAGTACTCTTTCCTCTGCAATTCTGTCTAAAGCATGCAATTCCTTCTCTATAGCCTCTGAGTTTAGGGTAACATTGCCAAACACTTCAGTATTCCATAACTTTAATTCCCACTTAAGGTGCTTGAGTTTTTGCTGATTATAAAGCCTAACCCAACAAGTAATAGTAGTGTTCTCCCAATAAGAAATGAAAATATGAGAAAAAATGGGATGCAGGTCCAAAGCGTTAATAAACTTGAAGGGCTTAGGCCCCAATCTCTTTCATCTTCCATCATCAATAGAGGCAATGGTCTGATATTAACCTAGGCAGGCGCCAGAGCTCATTTTGAAGTGAATCAACCATTGTAGGCTGAGCATGATTCTGTTAATTCTACTCAATTTCTGGCCTCCTGAGAATTACACCAGTGTATGATCGACTAAGAAAGGAAAGGTCACTCAATTCACATTTGTCTATAAACTCATTAAGTTGGTTCATTCCCTATCTCTTCTGACACATCCAACTCTTTTTCCCATGTGCATTATTTCATTAAGATCACCACCCAAGCACCAAGGGTTAGGAAGGATCCTTGAGCTTAATTGTGGAATTCCAAGAAGGATCGGCTACCGGACATCATTAGGTGCATTGTACATTTAGAAGAACATAATCAAAAGAGTTGTAGAGGTGTACCTGAGAGAAGAATAACCTCCTGTTGCAACAGCCCATAGATAGTTGGAGAACATCCGGATCCCAAATGCAAAGAGCCCTCTTGCATGCCATTAGGATCCACAGACATAAACTCCATTTCTTATTTCCCCAAGCCCAACAAGTCAACAAATCTGAAACACTACTTTCTTAGTTTCTTGAAGGAATGCAACATCAATTGTGCTATCTCGCAGAAGATGTTTGATTCTGCCCCTCTTTTCAGGCTTACAATGCCTCTGACATTCCAAGAGAGTAGCTTCATAGAGACCAATTGATACACTATGAGCCCCCCAGCCACACAGCTATCACAGCTTTGTCGAGCCCTCTTATTGATTCTCTCTTTATCTTCAGCTCAATAATCTTGTTCCAGCACAACTTCTTTAACCTTAAAATTAATTCCAAGTTGATCCCCCAAGTTAATTGGTTTCTTTAGCTTTTTGAGAAGAAAGATAATTTGAACTTGAGTCTCCCTCGGACAGATCTGATTGAGCAAGAGCAACGACAGCAGTTCCTGTCACGACCCAAACCACCCCTATGGTTTAGTATTGTAATCGGCCAGTAATCCATGATTACCAAAGGCCTGCTTAACAGCAAAGACAGTAATACAGAGTAAAGACTGGCGGGGAAGCCAAACAATAAATAAAAGAGATGTCCAATGAGCTGTGACAATCTGTATGGAAAAAGACTTTTATGAACAAGCCACATCAAAACCAAAACATATATACATCATATACACAAACACTCAGGTTAGGGACCAAAATCCCTTCACCATAACTGTACAGTCAAGTGGTAAAACCTTTATTACAAAACAGAAACAGAAGGGTGAAACTGAGACACCCAAAACAACCTTAGTTTGGACAGACTTGGAACCTCGCAGTGAGGCACAACGGTTGGCTTGACCAAAATTGGAGCTTAACCTGAACTTCTAGCTCCGATCGGCTGCCTGGACACCTACATATAGATATAAACAGGGAGCTAAAACCCAGTGAATAGTTGTGTAAAGAGGTTAAGAATGAATGTCCTTTTAGTAATTAAACAGGCATATCAGTCACTTAGAAACCATAGCAGTCATATGTGGTACATCCAATAGCAAAACAGTACAGTAGGTCTTAACAGACCAAACAGTCAGTTGTAGCATTATAACAGTAAACAGTAGTAGTTTCCAAACATTGAACCGACAGGATCTCTGTAACGTAGCAGTAACAGTACAGCAATAGTAAATTGCTATGATGCCACAGATGCAGTTCATAAATAGGACAAACATTCATCAGTAAACAGATTCTCTTCAGAAAAACAGTATAGTTAATTGTTCAGAAATAATCATAATTGAACATATCTTTACAACATTGTTACTCACAGAGCACTTGGCTATAGGCAAGCTAATGAGCGTCCTCGGATGCCAACCCCACACAGTAACAGAATGAACACACACTAAATTACAACACTAGGGATTAATAACTTAGCCCCTTAACTTGACTTGGTGTGGTCTATAACATTATTCTCATTAAGATGCCTAAACTAGGCCTAGGTGTGTATATCCTGTTCCGTAATATGTTAATTGGTCTTTAATATGAGTATGATTATGTATTTAGTGTTTGATATGATTTTGTGTGCCATTATGTGAAAATATGTGGTTTTGAATTTCTATCTTGTATGATTATCTGCTTTGGAAATTTAATTGAAGGCCTTATCGGCCACAGAACCCAAAATTGATTGCGCCATTGTGATTAGCATAATTTTAAGAGCTTACGGTGAAATTTAATTGGAAATTAATTCGGATCAAAATAATTAGATTCAGAACGATTAGTTAAGTGCCCAATTATTTAATATTGATATTTTTGATTAGTGGGACTTACCTTAAAGGCACTATACACTCAAAAACTCTCTATTGTTTTCATTTGGCTGATTTTGGCTCCAAGAGAGAGAGGGAGAGTCGGCTATAGAGAGAAAGGGAGAGAATTGTGCAATTTAGCTCAAAGCTTGGAAACCTTGAAGATTACTCAAGAATTTGCCATAGATTATGAGAATTAAAGCTCCTAGGTGAGTATTTCTTGGTTTTTGTTTGTAACTTGTAAATTGAAGGTTGAATGATGATAAAGAATATGAAATTAGTTGGTCTTGAGGAAT